GGGGTTATATTGACTGGATCAAATTATTGGGGGGGGTTATAACCCCCCTAACCCCCGTGTAAATTACGCGGGTGGTTTCTGGTCCCCACCTGTCGTTTTGCTCCTCAGCATGGCTGCCAAAAAACGCTGCAGGATTTCTCAAACCTGCAGTCAAAGCAAGGCTTTGGGCATGTTTTTTATGACAGTATAACATTTTAACATGATATAAAACTCAAAAAAWGTTGATTTTACATGATATTGCCCATTYAAACATTATAGAAAATCTGTGTAACTATGTAGGCTTCATGGTACATTCAGCACATGGGAAATGTACAAATCCATTTACAAATGATAAATGTGGATGCATTGATTTGATTTCAGATTTTTAAAATAACAATTGTGTTTCGTGGAGTTTTGAGCTGATTCTTTGATTTTATTTAATTTTTTGTCCATCATGAACAAAACTAAAATAGCTTTTTTAAATTTAAACACATAAAAGGGGGAGAATTAATTAAATATCTGTGGACGTTTTGCACTTTTTGGTCATAACGGATGCGCACACTCGGTTTTCCTGCATTCACCAGAAATAAGGGGGATCATTTGCCATACGAGTCGAGTGTCTACAGTCCTTTCAACAACAGAAATGAGTAAAAGTGACCCTTGCAGTGTGYATAATTGTTCGAGGCAACGTGACCGAGGAAAAGACAAAGGAGAAGCTTGCTTCTTATGAACATTTTAAACATGTCTACTTTGAAGATGGAAATGAAAAAATAAACAGGAAGCGTTTTTTTCGGCGTGTACATAATGTAGTTATAACAAACTAATCAAATATTTAAATTTTATTAGAAATTTAGACAAAAAATGTTACATAAATTGGCATAAGCTGTCTAGTGTGACGTGGCCTTTACCAAATTGCTCTAGGAAAGTCACATTTTCAATGGGAGACAAGTCTGGACTGCAGGCAGGCCAGTCTAGTAACCACACTCTTTTACTACAAAGCCACACTGCAGAATGTGGCTTGGCATTGTCTTGCTGAAATAAGYRGGAYGTCCCTGAAAAAGGTGTGGCTTGGATGGCAGCATATGTTGCTTCAAAGCCTGCATGTACCTTTCAGCATTAATGGTGCCTTCACAGGTGGGACAGTTACCCATGCCGCACCTCATACCATCAGAGATGCTGGCTTTTGAACTTTGTGCTGATAACAATCCGGACAGAACTTTTCCTCTTGGGCCCGGAGGACACAACGTCCAAGATTTCTTAAAACAATTTGAAATATAGACTCGTCAGACTTTCCACTTTGTATCAGCTCATCTCAGATGAGCTCAGGCCCAGTGAAGCCAGCAGTGTTTCTGTGTTTTGCTGACATGTGGCTTTGGCTTTGCATGATAGAGCTTTAACTTGCAYTTGCAGATGTAGWGATRAACTGTGTTCACTGACAATGGTTTTCTGAAGTGTTTCTGAGTCCACGTGACGATGTCTGTTATAGCAGTGTTTCCCAAAGTGGGGTCCTGAAACATCAAGGTGGGGTCCTGAAAAGATTTTCTGAATTAATTACATTTTTGTCTTAGATGTTACAAAGGAATTAGGTTAGTATATTTAAATTGGATAAATGCAGTATAAAAAATATTGTATCTATGCCCATGTTTTGTTGACCTGATACAAATGTTTATTATCCAAAAATAGTTGGGGGCACAGGTCTCTGCTACTGTTATTTTGTGGGTCAAAAGCTGAAAAGTTTGGGAACCACTGCACTTTGGTTCCCAAAGTTGAGCTTGGGACCCAATTATGGGTCATGAAGCACCTTGGATAATCTCCAGAAAGCAATTTAAAGGGTATTAAAATAATTGCTGATGTAATATTTCCCCTGTAATTATTACAAAAATGCAAAACAAGTACAAACCAGTATTTATATTTGTGTACAAACTGTTTAGATTGTCAAAAAAACCTGTGTTTTTAGGGTTATTAACAAAGTTCGTGTACTCAGACCAGTAATATTTGGGGTCACAAGTTTTTGCCATGGATRTTTTGTGGGTCAGAAGATAAAAAGTTTGGGAACCACTGTGTTATAGAATGATGTGGGGTTTTTACTGCAGTGCCAGTTTCTCAAAATTTTTTGACGATATTATGGACCATAGATGATGAAATCCCCAAATTCCTTGCAATCATACATTGAGAAACGTTCTTAAACGGCTGGACTGTTTGCTCAATCAGTTGTTTACAAAGTGATGAACCTCGCCCCAGCCTTGCTTGTGAATGACTGAGCCTTTCAGGGAAACTCCCTTTATACTCAGCTGTGGCACTCACCTGTTTCCAGTGAAAATGTTCACCTGTAGAATGCTCCAAACAGGTGTTTTCAGAGCATTGGTCAGTYAGATGTGTATGTACATCTGATATTTATTTTCGAAGAGTTTTAATGAAATCCATTCTGATCAAATGCTGCTGGTGGTCCCTCGAACCCAATATAAAACCTGTGGAGACAAAGCTTTTCAGGTGGTGGCACCGAGGCCCTGGAACGCTCTCCCTATGTCCCTTCGCTGCTCAGATTCTCCTGACTCTTTTAAGAAACATCTTGACATTTTTATTCCGACAGGCTTTTAGTTAATGTGCTTTTTATTGTGCTTTAAGTGTTGTTTTTTTTTGTGATCTGTTTTATTGTTTTTAGTTATTTTGCTCTCTGTTAAGCACTTTGTGATGTTGGTGTCTGTGAAAGGTGCTATATAAATAAAGTTTACTTACTTTACTTACTTCCTAACATTTATCAGTTCATGAGATATTTTGCTAACAAAATATATATATAWAAAAACAGGCACGACCAAAACATCATTGTACCTTTTCCCTTTGATTGTGGTCTGTAATTCCTGGTGCTGTTTTGAAGATTTATGTAGTCTGTAAACTTGAATACAGTTGGATTTGTTCCCCTGATGAACACAACAAATCTACCAGAGCTCACATTTTTTTTTACCTGTTTTTATTAAATTGTTCAGAAAAAAAGAACATCGGCCTCATTAAAAAGTATTTAACATATTACACAAACACACAAATACTGTTTCAGAATGACAAATAAATTTAAAAAATAAATCACAATTTCTTCAACCTCGGCAGCTTATTTTCAGCTTCATTTCTCCAAAGTACATGGCTTGACTTCATACCACAGCTGTTTTCAACGGCCAAATTCTTCTTGTCAGCCTCTTTCACATTGTTTCACAACAGCAATGATGAGTTGAATACTGCATTTTAAATTTTAAGTGCACTTRTAAAGCCCATTCTTAATGATTGTAGACAACAGATTTAACCTTCTCATAAGATTTTTTTAAACGAACAGTAAAAAAAACAGAGTCAGCTTTCGATGCTGGAGTCAAGGTTTTCAGTGTCAGAGTTGCTTTGGCTTTTCTGTCTCTGTTTGACTTTCAGTTCTTTGGTACAGCTTCATTATTTTTCTGTCGTGGAAACTCTTCCACAGATCCTTCTCCAGAATGTAGTCGTGGTTGRCGTAAAAAATGATTTCTGTTTTCCGTCTCTTTTCAACATAGTAGTTGGAGTATTTGCCATAGTCTTCTGTCATGAAGCCATACGCACTCACCTAAGGACGACACAAACACAAAAGGATTGCATAAAATTATATCAAATTAAATGATAATAAGGGAACCTGGTTTAAAGGGATATTCTGTTTACTTCTGAAGTGACGTTCAGCCAAATAGTTATTGATTTATCAGTTGTTAATTCAGCCTTAGAACACGTAGTAACTATTGCTAAATATTTGACAAAACTTCCCTTCAAAGTGCCTCATCAGTAATGCTTTGGTGCCACCTTAAATCTATTTCTGTCTACAAAAAAGTCTTGTGACTACTGAGTCTTAGGTAAGACATGTTCTTTGAAAAGAAATTGAATGCTTTGTGCGTTTGCTGATACTGTCCGTGATCAGGCTGTCTGAGAGTCTTTAGCATTCATGTCATCTTACAATAGGCGTTTTCTAAGAACTTGAATAGTAAAAAATGTTAGAGAACAGGTTTATCAAGAAATTGGTGCCTTTATGAACTATGGCAAAGAGGGATGGCTTCGCATCACTAAGAACATGGAAAGAATCATCTACACTGATAACAATCTGACGTCAATGAACACTTTCCAGGAATTCTTGGCTTGAATGCGTTGGTGAGATGAAAGAGGGAAAAAAATTCCAACAGTCAGTTGTTTCTGCCTGTTAATACATGTTTGAGGAAATTCAGAACATAGGACAGAAACAGCACTGGTGAAAGTTACTAATTATATTTTAGTAGCCTCAGTCAGTGGACTCGGGTCCATTCTGTTCCTGTTAGATCTCAGTGCTACACAATAATATTTTACAGAGGCTTAAACACGATATTGGGATTACAGAAATGACTCTAAAATGGTTTGAATCATATTTATTTGATAGATTCTAATTTGTTGATGCTATCCACATAGAGAACAGGTGTGGGCCAAATCTGGTGTCAAGCTGGAACAGCTGGCACGACAAGTGGTTTGCAAACAGGTTGTGGACCAGGTCTGGCGATGATGGCATTGTTTTTAAAATGGCAGGTCATAACTGGCCTAGTTGGGGTTTGGATTATGTGGTGCTGGCCCATGCATGGRCCACCTCTGGCAAACATTTGGGCCTCCTGCTATTYGGGTAAAAATGAATATTTTTCATACACCAGTGTTAGTCGTGGAGTTCCTCAGGGTTCAGTGTTTGGACCAACACTCGTTACTTCATCTATGCTTGCATTGGATAAAGTTATTGGGCAGTTTGGGATACAGTACAGAGTGTGAAGCGGCTGGGATGAGAGTCAGTTCCTCYAAGTCTGAGGCCATGATTCTCAACYGGAAAAGGATGGAATACCCGYTTCCRYGTAGGGGGAGAGTTTCTGTCTCAAGTGGACGAGTTTAAATATCTGGGTGTCTTGTTCCTGAGTGATGGTAGGATGGAGAGAGAGATGGATCAACAGATTGGGGCCTCATCCTCAGTAATAAGGGYGTTGCTTCAGTCAGTTGTGATCAAGAAAGAGTAGAGTCTATAGGAAAAGCTCTCGATTTACTGGTCTGTCTATGTTCCAACTCTCACCTATCGTCTTTAGGCTGAGATCATGACCGAAAGAACAAGATCCCATATTCAAGCAAACAAAATGTGTTTCCTTCGTAGGGTGGCCGGACTCAGCCTTAGAGAGGGAGTTCTGTCATCTGAAGGGAGCTCGGAGTAGAGCTGCTGCTCCTCTGCATYGAAAGGGGTCAATTGAGGTGGTTCGGGCATCTGATTAGAATGCCTCCTGAGACGTGTTCTGGACACGTCCCACTGGACCAGGACGTGCTGGAAAGTGTCGCTGAGAGGTATATCTGGGTTTCTCTCCCAGACCTGTTGCCTCCGCGACCCGACTTTGGATAAGTAGCAGAAAATGGATATGGGTTGGATTTTATTCGAATGTTGATGATAACTGACAAATCCAATCAGCTGGATTACAATCTTATTTTAGAGACATTTAAACTTGGGTGACTGCTATTTTCTTCTTTTAAATTCATTGTCATTACATTAAATGTTWCTACAGCTGTATGTTACAGTATTCTAAAGACATGAGATGACTGATGATGCATAAGGATTTCGGTCTTATACTGAAGCCCAACAGTTGTTTCCACACATCAAAAGATCACAAAAAACTAAACCGGCACTGTGGTTTGCGGTAAACAGAACATTTCTCTAATCTCAACCCGCCCCGTGTTCATCACTGTCAGTTGAGGTGAGTGAAACTGTTTAGAGTGCCAACTAATCTCCCAGCAAAAACAAAACCAGACTCACCGTGTCACAGGTGTGCAGAGCTAAGAAGATGGCAAACGCCCCGTTGGTTGGTCGGACAATTGACCAGTACTCTGTGTCCAGGTAATTAGATCTTAAAAACCTGCGGGTAAGAAAAAAGTGTCAGACAAAGATAAGAAAAATGTAATTGTCATTGATATAGCTGGATAGGATTGCGACCAGTGGCTGACCTGTTCCGTACGTATCGCATAAAATCTTGGTGTAGAACATAAAAGCGGCTCTCATTGAACTGTCCTGAATAGTAGGCTCTGGCACTGAATGGCGACAACACACACACAAATTAAAAAAACCTGTTAGTGATGACTTAGCAACATTACGATTTCTTTATTTTTGTGCCGGGATGAAAGACTTTACAGATTGGTTTGTAAACACTCAGTTCTTCATATTTATTCTAACACTGTCGATCAGTTTGTCAGTAGATTTATCATATTGTTCTGTCACAAATAGTGCCCTCAAACATGTCAAAGCTTCATACAAATCAGGTCAATAAAGGCACAGACTCTAGCTTTAAAAGTAAAAATGCCAACAAGCCAGTTATTATTTACTGGTGATGTAGTGACATTTTACAGAGACAAAATAACCCCACTGCTCATAAACTTAATTGAATCCCGTGGCCTGTTTTGACACCTGAGGGCAGCAGGAAGATTAAATTAGTGCCCTATAAATACTCATTAATTACTGAATGATGCAGTTTAAGAATTGGCTGAGCTTCAGACACATATTTTCTTTATTACTCATTCAAACTAAATAAGCAAGTGATTCATTCAATGGGTGGAATATTTTTAACATTGCAAATGCTGCAGGAACGATCACTCACTCTTCATTTTCATATTCACCAGAAGAGACTTTGCTTCCATTGTGAAGAGCCTGGAGCCACTGGAAGTCCCTGACTCCCTCAGGAATCAGGACATATTTTATTCCCTGTTAAAGCAAAGATAAAGACTTTTTTGTGTGGGTGTAGAAATTATAAAAAAAAAAAAACATGACACTCTGCTTGTAGCTTTAGTACCTCATCGTGTGGGGCAGATTTGTAACCATATTCTCCTAATAAGATAGGCGATGTAGTGATTGAGTGGGCGGTATGAACGTACACCGACGTTCTTCTCCCAACGTCTTCCTCATAACCCTTGATTGCTGCACCGTTCATCCTGTCAAACCAGACAGAGTCATTTTGATTAATTTCATGTGTGAGAAGACAGGACGCTATAAATGTTTTCACGATTTTTTTAGTCTTAGTTGGTAGTGAGTCGTTATAGTGATGAGCTAAATTGAGTTGATTGGGGTAACTTGTCAATGAAATGACTTTTTCCATTTCTAAAGCATCATTTGAAAGTTATGTCCTGATTTTTAGGGTAATCTGGACAAATAAGGCTGAACATGTTTGACTTGAAAATGTTTAAAGGGGCAATATTATGTGTTTCTCAGGCATTTATTTAAATTCTATACCATAATAAAGTAACTATGTCACCTTCAGTTGTTATTGAAATGCTGTTTATATGTTTAAATAGAAAATAAACGTGTTCTCATCATATCGGTTTCTAAACACCTTGAAGTTGGCCTCTGTCTCTTTAAGAACCTCCTTCTGCTTCTGTCCCGCCCATTTCAGCACAGGGCCAGTTGTRWGKGTGCTCTGTGATGAGGAAACACAGCTCAGAGACACATCCCAGAGGAGGAGCTGATCCCCAAAGGCGGTACTAGGCCCAACGGGTCATTTTGCTCTCATGCCTGGCTGCCTCAGGACACTACAGGATTTCTCAAACATGCATGAATGAGTCAAAGCAAGACTCTGGGCATGTTTTTGATGAGAGGATAAMATTATAACATGATATAAAGCTCAAAAAAGTTGATTTTACATGATTTTGCCCCTTTAATTATACTTCTGTCTACTGGGGTGAAATTGAGCCTACATTAGAGGCTGCCAAGACTGGAACCAACCAGAATGTGGTAGACCAAACAGACCTTGAGTTTTTATGATTTAATTTAAGAAGATCTGGAGCCATTTGGGATTATGTGTCGACAACTTTATAAAATAATGGCCTAAGTCATTTTTTGTTCCAAGTTTGTCAGGAATCTCAAAATATGTTTTCTGGTATGGTTTTTTGTTTCCTAAAAAATGACTTAGGTCAGGACTATTCAACTGGCGGCCCGCGGGCCACATCCGGCCCACGAGTGACCAAAGTTTGGCCCGCCAATTGGTTCATTCATTTCATAAGCACAAACCAGCAGTTTTCATCTTTAATTATTATAAGTTCTTTTAGTTTAACATAGACATGTGCGGTATCTACAGAAACATCAGAATCTTGGCTATAAGCTGGCAAAAACTATTTCTATGAACATCCAAGACAGTTAAAATGACAAGCAGTTGAAGATAAACCTATGAAAGTGAAAATAAAATTGGTTTAAAAATGCAGCAAAGCAGAGATGTCAAAATAATATTTGTGTTAAATAGGAGGCATAATGTGTTATTTTTGTTTTTGAGATTGTTTTATTATCACTACTTCTATTCTGTATGTTGTATACATGATTAAATGTGGAAAAATAAACTATTTCAAAGGTAACATATCTTTGTAAAACTTGGTTTATTTACATAATGACTTTAATTGCTGGAYGTTCGGCCCCTGTGCTGTTAGCSTGCAGTAACTGTGGCCCCCGAAGCAATTTAGTTAAATAGCCCTGACTTAGGCCTTTATTTTAGGAAGGTGACAATGTTGTAAAGATAAGCTGTAAGGTTGGAGAAGCTGGGCTTGGTAGGTTCATAGGTATATTTAGTTGCATGTCATCTGCATAACACAATATAGATCAGCAATCATGGATCACAGCAATCTGATACTTAAAATACCTTCATTTTTTGGGTCATTTATAAACTTCTTGGTCAACAACCTCAACCAGCAGGTTTGAGTTTTATCTCACCGGAAAACATAATCATGCGCATCAATCTCAGCTCCCATTTTAGAACCGTTGAGGATGCCTCCGGTTCCTACCACAGCACAGTGAATGCAACCATCGCCGCCTGGTTTCGGAAGGAGCAGCGGTTCTGTTGGCTTAGGAATCATCTTTAATGCAGGCATTACCTCTGCGGACAGAAATAAAGATGACATTGTGGATGTGTGTTCAGTCGTAGTTTTAATTTWGTTTTTGTGTCGTTGTTTTCTTCTGAGGCAGTTTCTCTAATTTTAATGCCATGTCGTGATCTTTCRACGCCACCGCCTGCTCTTCTTAACATCTCCTGGTATATATGCTCCCTGGTTTTACCTCATCATTTTGGATCATAGCCTTTGCTTGTGCAGGTAATAAATGCRTTGCTGAAAAATAAACATTTTTTCATCCTACAGTTCCTCCTGTTCTGGTAAAAATGAGTAAATGCCAGTCTTCTACCTGCACACATACTGTATATGTTCCCACTTTTTTTCTTATTATAATCTTTGATTAAATGTGCAAAACCTAAAACTTTAAAATGTATAATACCAGTCTTATCATTTACTTCAGCCATGTTTCTTAGCAAAGAAAATAGTGACATTTATTTCTAAACCCATRTTTTGTCTCAATAGCCATTTACACTGTCAACATTTTGTTACTCTAGTTACATTGTGCTGTTAATAAATTACTTCCAATACAATAAAGTCCACAATGAATTCTCTGTAACTCTTATCCAAATAATTTTCGTGTAAGGTACAGAGAAAAAAAAAACTATAAAAAAGAGGAAGAGTAGTGAATTAGTGATATTTCATTTTTTCTTTTCATGGGATGGAGGTCTTATATATCAGTTGTACCAAAATTAAGCATTTTGAGTGTAGATACATGGTCTTTTAAGAAGTTTTTATGGTTCTTTGCTTGAATAATGGGAGGCAGAGTTTCGTAATGTTTTATGCAGAGCTGGGATTAAGAAACATGACGCATGATGACAGTGGGCCCAGATAGGAAAATAAATAAAAAACCTACCATCATATTTCATTTGCATAAACCCAAACGGGTTGTTATGATGTGAAAGTCTGTTCCACTCGCTCATATTCATGTTGTCTCTGTGCAGAAACAGGCATACGTTGGGCAGGAAAGTCTTCTGGAAGGCCTCGTCCTTGGAGTTATGCAGAGACTGGGCACATGTCTGAGTACGACAATTAAATCTAAAATTACGAATTTAACTGATAGTTAAAAAAAGTGGTAATGTGAATAAAAAAATAATAGCAAATCAAACAGAAAGAAATACGAAAATACAGTATTTGTTAGGCAAGTGAACGCATGACCAAGCAGAAGAGCTAACACCCATAATTTCAAATCCATTTGTAAAATTCTTGTCCCATCTTGTCTTAAAGTACTCACTGTCGGTCTAGGTGGAACATCCTGGTTATAAACGTCCTCAAAACCCCACTGGGGAAGCTTGCCAAAAGATTTTAAATATAACATGGGAATAGGAGTCTCAGCTGGGGTGGTCTTTGTTTCAGTTTTTGGTGCTGTCACTGTATTCCTTCGGGTGGTCCTGTAATTTATGGTATTTTCTGTTTCCCATGTTTCATCATTTTTAAGTGAGCCGTTTTCTCCTCTGGATCGGAAGACATTTGTCCAGCTGTGCGTTAAGGTTGACCAAAAAATGAAAAATAAAATTAAATAATGATAATAAACAGTATAGTTTATTCAACCTGAATTGTGAAGGACAGCACAAAATGAAAACACAAACGTTCCTCGACAGCAAAGAGAAACTCACCGGTTGCTTCCTGGTAAATTACCCTGGAACAGGACTACAAGAATGAGGCAGGTTACCGACACCAGCAGAAAAGAGAAAAGCCTGACACTTTGAATGGCCATTTCCCAGGAAATTTACTTGTTCAATAAAATGCGAACAAAGTATCGGCTGCTGACTGGCGCGATGCCATCATATGGAACAATTTGTTACCGGAGTCCTAAACGCTTGCCTTTTAACCAAGTCACACAGGTACTGCTAAGCGAGTCCGACAAGAAATTTAGTGAAAAGGTAACACAGCAAAGAGGAATGTTTGATGTGCGTATGCAGAAAGAACTGGGAAGGGCTGTTTGCTGAGCGATGAACACGTGACGGCAAACCACAACACACACACACACACACAAAGCCTCCAAATGTTCTGGTTTATTCCACAACACAAATAAAACTTCTCTAACAGAAACAGTGCTCCTTGGTTCCTTCTCAGGTGAGTTTTGCATATTCACCTGCAGTGTGCAGCAGGGGAGGGGGGAGACAAAGGGATTTTAAACACAAACAGACAGTCTGAGGGGCGTCAGGGCGTAGCTGTGGTGAATACTGTAATCAAAATTATTTCATGTGCTGGATAAGTCCTGGAGTGCGAGCACACGGGCGATGAGGTGGGAAGCTCCGCCCCCCACAGAGGTTTCAGATGGAGTAGAGTCGGAGCTGCTCCTCTAACTCTCCCTCAGACATGTCCCCAAATGTCTCCTTGTTGTCTTTTAGCAGCTGGAAGATGGAGGCCAGCTGTTCACGCTGCACCCTGTGRGAGATCAGAGGAGTACTGAGAGAGGAAACCAACACAAACAAATGATCGGTCATGATATGTGACCCATCACATCCTAGTTAGATTTGTTTAAAATGACCAAAACGCACTTTCAGATTCCAGGTTTTGAAGCTACRTTTTTATTCCCTGGATCGTCCTGATAYCATGAGCGGCTCCAGAGACATGGCTTGATTTGTTCTTCCTAATCAGGATAACCCRTTGGTATTTGGTCTGAGTCCTACTTTGAAGTTATTCTAATGAGGACATTTTGACATCATTATAAAAAGAAAACCTCAAACAACATTTGGATATTAAGATTTACCAGATGGGAAGAAAAAAAAGCTTTGCTAGTTTGCACTAGCCTGGACTTTGCCTTCCTATACAGCTCCGCTCAATCAGAGAACTGAACGTCAATTTTCTGCACAGTGTCTGCTAGTTAGTTAGCAATGGCAGTGGAGGAAGTGAATGAAGCCAGTCCGTGTTGATAAGGCTTCATAATTAAATTAAATTTGTTTGACAAAGCAGCAGCTCTCATTTACAGTCGTCTCATTCAACTCGGTACTTCTCTCCTCTCAGTAGGATTGTTTACAGCGCACGCGATTTCCGGTTAGCTTCTTAGCTTAGCCTCCTTCACAGCATCATACGTCACGGCCAACTGATCCAATCATTTTAAAACTTCAGCAGAGGCCACGCCTCCAGCAAGAATCACTTCTCTATAGCCGAGAGTCCAGACCCTCGTATGAAGCAAAGCGAAGGACAAGGGTCTGRTTTTTACCAGGATAAGTTTGCCGGGAAAGTGAAAAAAAATTTAAGGCTTTTCTGCTCAAATTCGTTGATTTTTATAGCTACTGCTCAAAAAAGTGCTTAAAATATTTAAGATTATATTTCGGATATTTCATTTAAACAGCTTGTAGTTAAGGTTCATTATGTTCATCATATTCCGACAAAATGCAAGTGTTGCAAATGTTTTAATCAATGTAGTATTAATTGGGATTAACTTAATCCTCAGTTTAWGGTGATGGGTCACCTGTTTGTGTTCGTCTGTTAGAAAACACTTTTCATAAAGTAATCACTGGATGTACAGTACATCAACAACTCAGTCCCATTTTAGGTCAGTCCGATTCAAGATGGATGCCACAGCTGATCACAAAAAAAATCTCTATAGCTCAGTGAATTTGACAGATTCTGAGTAAAATTTGATGTGGTAGTAGCTGAGAGTGATCCCCAACACATMCTCTTATTGAACTCTMAGTGAGTGCATAAATTAAACTCTTAACTAAAAGTCCAACAAAAAGAAAATGCTGCACAAGTAGATTTGCAAGTTTTTACGATCTTAAGTAGAAAAAGTAAGTTGTAAAGTTATTAAAGCAGTAAAACATCCTAAAGCAAATACAGAAGACGTAAAAGTCCTTTACTGAAACACAAGGTGTACAGAATGATTCACCTGGCTGCGTARTTAACTGATCTAAGTGCTGATCTACAGCTAAATGAAAAAAAAAAAACTAATGGAAAATACACATAAATCAAGGAGTTGCAACTAAAGTCAGGACCTCAGCATGAATGATTGATGTGGTTGGCTTTACTTGAGCTATGAATGAAGAAACACCCACAAACTTAAATGAAGATTAACAAGTTTGTAAAGGAGAGCGGGCCAAAAGTGATCCACAACGACGTGACGGAATGAAAGGATCATAGAAGTTCAGCGACCGCAACTTGTTCTGCAGAAAAAATACTTAAAAAAACACAACACCCTTTTGATTTGCTTAATTTAGTAAAAAAAAATATTTTTTTTAAAATAACAATTACATCTTGGTAAAATGCCATGTTGAGTTTATATTCGCTTCATTTGAAGACCTGATAAGGAAAAAGTGCTTCCTTGTCACTAGAATCATCTTATTCAAAACTCAGGGTAAGCATTAAGAATGAAAGGGGTTAAATATTTACATTMTTTTATGGCTGCATGTAGGAACGGTTGGTTTCTAAAGCTATGACACTGCTAAGATTGGTATAAATTATTATTTTTTGCAGAAATAAGGAAAAACAATCTTATATAAAGAAAGAAATAAAGAACAAAGTGTGATCTTATATCTGAATTCATATATTTAGAGACAAAAYATTAAATTATATTCAAATGAACTAATGACCAATTAATAACAAAAAACAAAACGAAACATAATAGATAAACCATTGTATTATCCTTGTATCTTCGTTCTTAAAAACCAAAGGAGCTCATTTGTCTCTACTGTTTTACTCTGGCGCCCCCTTGTGGCAGAACAAAGGAACCTCCTCAAAGAAGAAAAAAAAAACTGAAGAAGCAATCAACACCTGGTGGGACACATCTGTGAATAACATGTCTAAAGGGGATAAAAAAGGGGCAACACGGGGGAGGAGAGGTGGGATCAGCAGAGCAACACGGCACCGACACATCAGTCGCTTCGTGGCCACATGAGGATAAAAGCTGCTGAGGCAAAGTTCACTGCTCATAGACTGTGAGTGCAAATTGGCTGAGAGTTGTTTTGTTGATTTATTTTGTACAAATGGCCAGAAAGTGACTCSTCTGGGACAAATAGGTGAGAATAACTCATACGTTACCACATTTTTGCTCCTTTTTCAGGTTAACAGACAATTAATTTCTGTCTTGGATTCTCTCCTGAGCAGGATAAGCAAAGACAGAAAAATAAAATAAATCCTCAAGCAGCATCCCATTTTCCCCTGTGTTTTCTTTATTCGTTGGTGCTTTCCGTTCTTCTAAATCTCCTGTTGCTCGTCGGTCAGCTAATGCTTGGCAGACACCCAACCTGGACTTAAATCAGTCTAGCCTGAAGCCGAGCGGTGATACAACAGACAAACGTAAACGTGTGAAACGACTAAATCACACGTGAATCAGTGAAAGGGGGAGAAAAACACAACAAAAGTCCCCTTTTGCAGCATTTTTATCTGGCTATGGGACAGAGTTTAGTTTATATATTAGCTTTACTTTTATTTTTACCTATCATCTTAATAGTTTCCATTTCTCTCATTCCATTTTATTGGATTAAACAGAGAATTCACTTCCTATTTTGGTATTCACAATCCATCAAATATTCACCCTTTTCACCATATTGAACAAGAATTATTTATGCAGGACTTATTTGGTGATTTGTTTATACTGTAAATATGCAAACTACCCSCTAAAACCTCAAGTAAAATAGTCTTTTCATTTTTTTGTATATGAAATTAAAGCTCTTAAGCAGCTTAAAAATCACGTGAATAAACTGAGCTAACCTCACTTTCAGTATTGTTTATGATTTGTTGTTTTTTGTTTCATCATCTGTTATTAATCATTTATACCTTGTAGAGCAGGTAAAAATAGTCTCCACACTTTTTGGTGTGAACCTTGTTAACCATCTTGTTCTTGGGTTAAATAGACGAACGCCTCATTATTTTTGCCCAAGGGCAGCAGAAGGGTCAAATATCTGTTAGCCCCAGTGCTTGTCCGTGTGGTTTTTACTGACCTCTGCTCCTCCTCCAACTCCTCTTTGGACATCATCATCTCTAAATGGTGCGACCGAGCCTTTCCAGGAACATACTTCAAGGAATTATTAGCATCCGATTCCACCTTCTTTGCTAAAACAGAATCCAGAAAAAAAAAAGTGCAGATTAGAAATCAATGAGACCAGTCAGTGATAGAATAAGTGATTTAACTCATTAGTGGTGCTTACTGTTTCTCCATGGGCTCTCTGGGGCTCCTTCGGTCTGGGGGTAAGAGAAAGCACACTTTAAGAGCTCCGTATCAGAGAGCCCAATGAACGACCTACGACCGCTCCCAGACGAGGCCTCGGACGACGTGTCTACCTCTAAACTCATGTGTCTGGTTCCTGAGCTGGGGACAATCAGCCTGGAGTGCTCAACGACCTCTCCTTTGTGAGCGTGGGGGTATTCCTGCTCCTGCCAGAGAATTGGGAGGTCAAACGGTGTCGCACCATCGCTGCCTCTATTCGGACTTCCTCCCTTTTGTGCACTTTATCTACTTGTTGCCTACGCACTCCCTCTCTGCTGTGCTTATAAACTTTCTCTAGATTTTCTTTTCAAAATATTTGTTTCCATTAATACAAAATGCTATGTCAGGCTTGTTACTGAGAAGTGGAAGCTACACTGTGCTTCAGTTTCTTGTTAGGATGATGCGTCTGTGGGTTGCTCTCATGAAAGACTTGCCAAATATTTTCTGCCAATGCCAAACAATCTATAATGCTATTGACTTTCTGGGACCCCACCAGTGGCAATCCCATATCTCYGGGACCAAACTCTATCCACCAATATGACAAGGCTAGACCCCAGAGATCGGGGTTTATCAGAGACTACCTCTACCCCATTGAACACCAGTGGGTTCAAGCAATGGCGCCATGTTGCTTTTACTATTTTCCTTGCAGAAGCCGRCAGTTGTGCGTTCAAACATGGATAGTTCTGAGGAAAGTTGTCAGTCAGAAAGGATCTATAATCTTATAAAGGGCTCTGTGATGGACTTTGGAMTTGTCCAGGGTGCCCCCTGCCCCTCACACAGTAACTGCTGGATTTGGGCACTAGTGACCCCTCTGGAAACATAAAGTGGGTAAAGATAGTAGAAGGATGAACTCTTAAAGAGTAACTTACCCCAAAATTAACTTTTTTTAGCTGTTAAACTGTCTAGAATGTGTCTAAAATGTTATATAGTACTGTTTCTGTGCTAATTTTGAYGTTTTTGTGCGTATTTGTTCAAATCTGTAATATTTGGTCTAAAARCGTGTTTTTDCTGCTCATATGGGTAGAGCAGTGGTACTGCAGGCTAATTTGCATATTGGTTAAAGGCTCTCCACTGTGACGTGTCTTCTCCACAGTTTCGTCACAGTGGCTGTGTTCTGGTATAAAAGCCTCTCTCTAAGACACACCCCTGCAGCAGTCAGAGGGTGGAACAGTTAGCAAGCTTAGCATGCAGTAGTCCTGCACAGCGGGGGGGGCAACTTCAGCCCGAACCCACACATGTCATCTTGTACAGATTGTCTGTAAGTTACAAAGATTTTACGTCATTTTGCAGGTATACGGACATATCAATGTCACGGTTCTTTTCAAGTCTTACAGATATTTTAAAAACCTCATTTTCAAATTTATCTAACATGTCAGAGCCTATAGGATGATTTAAAAAACAATAAATAACATCAAACAGCCATCTTCCAACCTGTTCTGCTGCTAGAAATAAGTTACGTTTTCCTCTCTCCTTTCCTTCAGCAGGCGCTTTCACGTCAGTCAAACAAGATCCAACACTTTTATTCCTGATTTAAACTAGAGATCTTGTGAGCAGCTGCAGCTGTATGCTTTTATTTTTTTCTGTCAGGCTGTCGGAGCGCTCCTCCTCCTCTGTCCGGAGCTGGTGTGGGGTGAAAATCCTCCACCTCAGACGTTCAGAGATGTAACTATCTGCGATACTGTGGTCACTCTCCATGTAGCATCAATTATGCTAATGCTAGCTGCCTGTCACGTTCTCTCGTCCTGGCCACACCTCTGCTCTCTAACCCCCCCCCCCTCCCTCCCCTAACTACTTTGATGCATTTTTCAAATTTCGCCTTGGGGCAGAGTTATAAGATAGTCAAATTGACAAAAACTCATTGTTGTAGATAACACACATTGTGCACAGAGGAATCCATCAACCTAAAAGTGTGGTGCTCCATCTGTGACAGATTTGTGGCCAAACAGCAAATATAGGGAAGACATTTACTGCTTCCAGAGCGGTTCATTCTAGCTTGATAGAGGGGGCAATATCTATCAAGTGCAGAAAATTTTTATTTACACATTAATTAAAATGTCAACAACAGAAGACTTGTCCATCCAGCCTTACCCCTACATGTTGAGGCCAGAGGAGAATGAAGACGACGAAATTGTAGATGACCTGTTCAGACCTTTTTTTCTTTGGCAGAAAAATGAAAAAAAAATATAAAGATACCTTTGCAGAAACGGGAGAGACTAAATGTAACTTTTTTGCAGTCCTAGAGACCAACACAAGAGAATGTATTTAATGGCTAAAAAAGTGGATGTTGCACAATGTCTTCGTCAAGCTGGTGACTTGGAGGAGGTGCCAGGCTGTTGTAGCTGTGTATGGTTCTTCCACATGCTACCGAGAGTCTCTGTTTAAAATAATGTTGRATAATTGTTACATTTACAGTAGCCCATTTCATGTTTCTCCGGTCTTGGCATTGGTAGGGATTTGTCAAGTGTTTCGTGTGTTTTTTCTAATATCCTGAAACCCTAATGGCTTTAATTCCCAGTATTTATCAGCTCTTCTTCAGCCTGTGTTACCTCTGACAGGATCCGAGCCTGCACGAGTGCTTAAACAGATTAGAGGGAGAATTATGCAATCCCAACACACCAACAGACCAAACAAACAAGCACTTATCTCCTGTGACAGATTTTTTAGAGGTTACCTACTGAATGCACAGACTTCACTACATCCCAGTGGTCGTGGGCGCTCCCGCTGATCTCGCTCCAGTTCTCCGCCTCCTTCTTCTTCTTGCCCCCGGTCGGTAGGTGTCCGTTCTGCCGCTCTAATCCTCCGCCGTCTCGGCTACTGCTACTGCTGCTGCTGCCGCGTCCGAAGTAACTCCGCGCGTTCGCGCTGTCCGCCGCGGGCGACGAGCCGCCGAGCAGCGACGTCGCGACCACGATGGCGAGGAGCGTGAAGATGACRGCGGATAATATAAAAGTCGCATCCATGTTTGTTTTCTTGCTGATCTTCCTGCTTTCTTACTCAGCCATCCTTCGGATCATCCGCACCAGACATGAACAGTGAACGGACCAGAGGCGTTTACACGAGCTTCTGTCCGATTAGAACGTCACATCCTCCGGGTACGCCCCCGTCTCCTCCTCCCTCCAGTGTACCTGCTCGGACTGGACAGGTGCACGAAGCAGGGCCACGTGCTCAGCTCCACACCCCCCTGCCGTGTCTGCAGATAAGCTCATCAGCAGGACGAACAGGAGGATCCAAATGACTTCTGACAGAACCCGTGTACCGGGGGCGATAAAGTCAAGCCGGGTTTTACGTCAGCCGAGGGACTAATGTTCTCACCTGAGGAGCTACCTGTCCGTCAACACGTTTAACCCTCCTGGATCAAATGGGTCACTATCACCCAGGGGCAGCAGGAGGGTTCAATTAAAAAATAAATAAATAACTTTAAAGCAAATTTAACTTCAACCCAAGGTATTCCAATACAAATAATTTGTATTATGCACATTTTGAAATTCCAATTCATTTTTTAATTCTAACAAGAGCGAAGTAGCCTAAATCAGTGCATTTTTATTCCAAGTAAATAAGCAAAAATAAATATGAAATTAGAAATCTAAGAATCTATGGTCATGAGTTTTGGGTCATGACCAAAAGAACGAGGTCCCGGAGACAAACGTCCGAAATGGGTTTCCTCCGCAGGGTGGCTGGGCT